ATATATGATGTATAAATTATATTTTATTATGATAAAATTCTATAATGTGTATTAATTGAAAAATTTAATTGTAGACATTGTTACAATTATTTATCAAAATAGTAGAAATATCTATAGAATATCCCAAGTACAGCAAGCAATTAATTTTCAACAAACGTTAACTCTTTCAGATTTGATTTTATTGGAAATATGTTAAAAAATTATTTCTTAATTTAATTCATGCGTACTTTAATAAATAATTTATACTACATCAAATCTCAGATGTAGATAAAACTAATCTTGGCGGAATAATATCTTTAAATTTGATGTATATTACAATGTAAACAGGGTCTGAAGGGATTAATTCGATTTTTTCTTATTGATAACATTGGAAACATTTTTTTTTCCATCGAGCTTCAAGCTGAAAGAGAAAGTGGGAATTTCTCTTTGGTCGATTAATGACATTTTATTTCAGACGTTCAATGATACGCGATCGGCGATTAAACAAATTAGTAGTATTATTAATCAAAATATCGAACCGGATCCAACTACACGACGACCAATCAACAGTCATCATTCATTGACAGTCGCCAATACAACAACAGTTGCACCGATGAATGAACAGAATAATACTTCCAGTGACATGGTAGGCGTTAACACAACGACGACCTCGACCACACAAGCACCTTTCAGACTCACACCAACCAATCTGCAAAATTTGATTAGAAGAAATTTGCGTGGTTTAGTGAGACTCTTCAATATTGAATGGCAGGAGGCTCTGAATGTAAGTTTTTACTATAATCTCTTATTTTTGCTAATTTTTTTCTTTAAATATTTACTATATGTACATATATTGAATTATTATTTAATAATGGTATTACAATTGTACAATAAATTGTTTGATCTTTCAGCAATCAGACATAACTGTAAAGGAATTTCAAAAGAATCTTGGGACTCAAGTGGGCAGTTTCCTACAAGACAACCCAAACGCTTTTTAAAAGCAATAAAGATAACATCACGAAGAAGAATTGAATAGATAAAATAAACATCTCAAAAAGTTCCGAACTGAATACAATATAATAATTCAATTATAACAAGCTGATTCATAATTTAGCTAAAGATTTTGTCTGACAATTTTTAATAATGATATTTATATTTTTAATAATATATTTGCATTTTGTTAAATATTTTATACAATAGAGCAATTTTTACATAGAAGAAATAGATTTAAGCAAAAAAACAGTTATATCTCTATTCATTAAAATTCATTGCATAGTTCATTGTAAATGCATTTATTAGATATAATACGTAGATAAAATGTACACTTAACATTTCTTCATTTCTTTATTACATTATCGTTTAAGTTAAATGAATCCTTTATGAATGTGCTAAAGTAATAATGATGACATAATTCCTATTATTTTCGACTCAGTCATTTCAAGACTTTTCAAATTAATCTGTTCACCAAATTACAACATTGAATAGCCAAAATTATGCTCTGCGATTTCATCATAGGTTAACGTTCTTTTATATCTCCGATATGTCGACTTACACAATCATTTTTGGCACTTAACCCACGTCTAAATTTCGTAAGTGTAAGATAAAAAAAGGAGCGGATAATTTATTCGAATGAGTGGTCAGTGTGAAAGAGGATCCGGAGATCGCGACTGGTGTGACATGATTGCAGTAAGTAGAAAGCGCCTTCTTCGTCCAAAGAAACCAATGCGAATCTGCAAATTCTCAAAGCCGGATTGGTCGACGATTTGTGTGGGATCCAGCGGCAACCCTTATAGATCGACGAAGCAGATCCATGATTCAATCGTACCTGTGTCGACTTAAGTTGAAACTCGTAGAAGCCAGCCTTACACGCAATCTACTTCGAAAGGATGTTTTGGTGCTACAGCTTTTTGACCTTTCTTCTTCTACTAGGCGACACGTATGGCGTAAGTTGTTTTAATTAAAAATTCTATATATAAAAGAAAATAAAATTAACATTCCAAAAGTTTTAAATTTAATTTATGCAGTTTGAAAGATTAAAGATGACAAGAATAATTACATCTTTTCTATATCTCTCTGACTCTAAATTTCACAAATGTGATTTTAATTCTCGGTGTAATAATGCTACAATAATCATTAAAATGCTAATATCATCTTTATTATTTCAAGAATTATATTTTCTCATATTATATTATACTAGTTTATAAATTTTAACAATTTTTAATATAAAGAAAGAAAACAACGCTTTTAAAGTATTTTGGGATGCTGAATTCAAAACTGTCATCAGAAAAATTCCATCTGATCGAATATTTAAAATATAGTATGTTAATTTTTAAGATATAGCACTTCTTTTTGAATAATTTGGGTTCGACAAATGATGAGCAAGTCAAACGTTTTATCAAGATTTGATATATTATAATAATTAAAAAATGTGTGTGTGTGTGTTGTGTGTGTATTTCACACACACACACACACACTCTTAAGATTGAGTGAGGAGGATCGCGGTAACGTGAATTAACCTTTCCAATAATTGATGAAGATTATTCAATATTTTTAATTTGTAAAAAGTGAAAGCTGCAATAAATATTGTGGACCCGTATTGGTACGTGTAGCGATCTACCTATATGCACTCTGATGATGGGTTTAAGCGTGGGTCGTACTTATCACACATAATATCTCATGGAAGAAATTTCTATGCAGTCTGCTACATAGTTTTCACTTGTTACTTTATAAATAGAAACTCAAGGAATAATTTATCAGAAGTATTATATTTTCACGTTGTCGCATAAGTAAGAACGATTAACGTTTTGCATGTATTTCAGGGCATGTCGAAGAGTAGAGTGCGACGTCAAGATTCATCAGCACAAAGTAGACAGCTGATAGACAGTATCTTCAACGTAAGCAAGGCTTTACAATAAATATATACCGATTAATCAATTAATCAATTATTATACAAATGGAGAAACGTTAAATAGTAAAATATAAAATCTCTTTATTTTAAAAGCATTTTGATAAACTTTAAAAATGAAGAAAGAAAGGAATATTTGTTATTAATAAATTAATTTTATTTTAAAAATTATAGAATTTTTATCTTACAGATTCCAATCACAGCGATTAGACAAACCGCTTCAGCCGTCCAAATTATTTCGCCAGAGAATACGCAGAGAATTGACAGTATTGTTAAGGTAATATATGTAAAATTTCTTGCACTTACGTATATTTAAAATGTATTTAATTATTTTCTATAATAAACAAAATTATTTACAGATCCCTGTCTCAACTTTACAAGCTGTTGGCACATTCATAAAAACTACAAGGGAGCGGGGGCAACAAATTCCGAATAATATTCAAGCTCGTCAAGAGAGGAGAGAACGGATCTTGGCTCTAAAAGAGCAAAAAAGAAAGCGAAAAGAGGAAATTCAAAATCAGCGATTACAGCAGCAATTGAAGAGAACTGTTAGACATCATCAAAAAGACCCGCTTGGATTAGACGCATTGAGTAATCTTTTGGTTGGACATCACGCTGGTGGACTTTTAGGCCATCATTCTGGATTGGGTGGTATCCACAGGCCTCACAGACCTGGTCATAAAATTGGTCACGGCCTTCACAAACCTGGAATTCATCATGGTATTCATGGTAAGTAATGCAAGTAGGTATTTGAAAGGGGTCCAATAGCGCACAAAATCGCTAATTTGTCAATTTAAGATAAAATATATTCTTATTGGTGAAGCAATAAAAAATTACTAAGCACCAACCGATGTGAGTAAATGTGTGCTATCGGGATATGTGCTAACGGGACTCTTCCAAATATTTCCGCTGTTTTCTTCTTTTTTCTTTTCTTCTTCTTCTTTCTCTCACGTTTTATCTGCGGCCTGTGTTATACCTTTCTTATATGCTTGTGATGCGCACGTTGATTATTCAATTGCAACAAGCATATGAGACCTACAGTTTTAATGCCAATTCCGAATAGCAGATTTTTCGAGTGTTTTTTTGTGGACAAGAATATTTTCAAAAGGCTGCCAACCTTTTCCAAGAAGAGATGCGAGCGTAAACATTTTTTTCATTAGTTACTACCAGGATTGAACTGTTTTCTTAAAAGAAAAAAATACTTCTGAAACTATATATAATATTATTTCTGAAACTATTGTATGTAATTAGTACTTTTTTTATGTTACCTATATTCTATATAGATAAGATAGATTATATAGATAATATAAATAATAAATAGATAATATATAGAAAGAACGATTTTGTTAAATTATCTAAAAATTAGTTCAATATAAATCTGACAGTAATTTTATTAAACTATCAAAAAAATAATTAGGACCTTTAAGCAGATTGCTAAAGAACGTCAAAAATTTTTACAATATTATCATCTTAATTAAGTGTCCTACATAATTTTGATGATCCAATAAAGTTATTTTTATATGTTTATCTAGTATAATTTTTACTTTAGCAAAATCGCTCTTTTTGAATATATATATATATTGTTTGTCAAAGGTGGACATCTGGAAAATCATCCGCAGCATACCTACGAGGTGCATGAGGATATTAATGAAGATACATCATTCTCTTGGCACGGTTTGACCGCAGGGTTTGGCACTTTCACTGGAATCCGACCTTCTAGTACTTCTATCAAAATTGAAAATAAAGTCGCTCCTAAGGAGAATATTAAAAATAAATTAGCGCAAGAATATGACGATCCGTTGGAGAATAAAATTGCTCCTAGAAATAGAAGAGTAATATTTGTGCAATAATGAAAATATGTAATAATGATGTATTAGATATAAACTTATTCTTATTGTTAGTTACAAATACTCGCCAAACATTGCTCATATTCATAATTTTCTGTACTTATTCTCATAAGAATTCCTAAAGAGGTGCACCTTAGTAAACATATCAAATTAATATATTTTATATAATTAAAATAATAATATATATAATGCTCAATATAACATTATGCAAATGCCATGGGCGTGGCCTAGAGGTGTCAGTCAGCCGAAATGGCGCGTTCTGATTGGCTCGCCCTATACTCACTAAAGATTTGATTGGTTCGCCCTATACTCACCCAAGATTTGATTGGTTCGCCCTATACTCACCCAAAAGGTGATTGGAGAGGGTGGGGGGGTAGAGGGTCTTAGACGAAATAGAGGTTTGAAAAATGGTGAGTGGGGATTTGGACTTCAGCATTCTTGTCGCGCGGCTAGAGTACGAACAGAGGGGGGTGGGGGGATGAATACCGGTCTAATCTTATGACGGTCGCTTTTGTTGTCACGGGGGGCAACGTCTCTGACGTGTAGGCGATTCGGTGAATGTCTGATAAAGAAAATGTTATACGGAAAATTTGTAGGCCTAGAGAGAGACTTGCTTTTGTTCGGAAGAATTTTGGGGGAGAGGTAAAACAGGAACGAACACGTTGTGGCGCGTCGTCTTTGAGCATTGCTTTTTAAAACAAAATTCTTTCTATATTTAGTGTATTTAATGTACATTATCTGAGTCTGTAATACGGGGGAAAATGTATCTAATGTAAATGAGGTTGAAGGGGTAGGAGTAAGAAACAAGACAATATTTACAAGTTCAAAAACGTTTATTTAAAAAAGATATGAAATAGTTACTTCACTTTTTTAAAAGAGACACGTTTGAACATGATGGCATACAACATGAGAATTTACGAGTTTATGTTTACAATGAAGAAAAATTTTATGAAATAACTGTACAATCAAACGATCATTTCGCTTACAATCAAAGGTAAACAGATCAAGAAATTGATTAAGATTATAGCCATTACACAAATAATATAGTATTTCTTGTATTTTATTTAAAAGTTTATATGTATAGCGCTGAAATAATCAGAAAAAAAAGTTGGTTATTGGAAGGTACGAGTAATTAAGAAACGAGGGTTTATGTTATAAAATTATATTTATTGATACAAATTTTTTTCAAAGAAGAAGAAATACATAGTTTGTATGAGAATAAACTAAAAACGTTTTAGTAAAATTAAGCCAAAGATTCCCGCTTCGAGGAAATTATATGAAAAATTTCGTTATATCTTAACGAAGTTAATTCCAAAAATATTATATTGAAATACATATCAAGAAAAGTTAAGTCGTTAATTTGTGTACGCACATTACGGCCACGTAGAGGCTCGCGCTCGCAAACCCCCTTCGAATAATCCGCAATTCGACCAGGGCTCACGTAGTGCCCGAGCATTAATTAGCCCCGGCGTGTTTTCGTCGACCGGATCTCGCCTTTGAACTCCACCAACCGTCTCGTCCAGCGCTGCTGGGCCGTCGCGAATTCCGGTTTCTGAGGAAACTGCTGCAAGCATCCGCGCCACGGCTTCGAAATTCGCTATCGCACGCTGCGCGAATACAAACCCGGGGGGGGGGGGGTGTAGGAGTGCGGCGACGGTGCCACCATCAGCACTCCACACGTTCGCCCCCGTGGATCCCCGACAACCTTCCAATCCCCACACGTCCGTCCTCGGCAGCCATTCACACACAGACACACACACACACACACACACACACACACACAGACGGACGGACGGACGGACGGATACAGCCGGGACAGCCGGGACAGCCGGGACAGCCGGGACACCCGGGACAGCCGGGACAGCCGGGACACCCGGGACAGCCGAGACAGCCGGGACAGCCGGGGCACCCGGGACAGCCGGGACACCCGGGACACCCGGGACAGTCGGGACAGCCGGGACAGCCGGGACACCCGGGACAGCCGGGACAGCCGGGACAATCTGCCGAGACAATCTTTCTCTCCGAGAAAAATCTGCACCTTATATTAACACTTTGAAATATTTCTTTATTTTTTTTTATAAATAATAGAAACATTTTTTCTTTTATACAATAATTCTTTAAAATATGATATATAAGGAATTTTTGAAATTGTTTATTACGAATATAAAAGTCAGAGAGAGAGAAAACATTTTTTAATTCAAAATGACAAAGGCAACATTAAAGGTACAAAAATTGATCTAATTACTTAGACTAGATATTTGATCGTTTTTAGGGTCGGTGATGATTAATGTAAAATAAAAATAAAAAACTAAGAAGTAACATATCTAATATGGCAGTTCAATATATGCCAAAAAATTGACTAATTTGTATATAACGAAGCAACAGTTCATAATTTTGAATTTGATAATTTTTGGCTTCACATTTAAATCGTCAATTTTAAAAACTAGTATCGACTTTCATAAAATCGATCTATTTCTTACAATGTTGTTCCGCCTATTAAATCAGCTATTTAAATTTTTTACATTTTTACTTTGTTTAAAATTATCCAAAAATACGCCGAAAATCAAATTTAGTGTAAAATTATTGACTTAATGACTTTGTCAGTTATATTATATTTAAAAAATTTGTAAATTTTGACTTTGTATATTCGCAATCCCAAGAATTCCTTAATGTCAAGTTTTAATATATTCTCGGTGAAATTTTTTATATTAATGCATTAGTATATTTTAGATAAAACAAAAATTTTTCGTACTTTGAGTTGCTATTGTACATTGAGTAAATTGTTGTGAATATTGTAATTTTTACTTCAGATTCGGATTCAGCAATTCAAAATATACTTACTAGGTATAAAGTTGCAAAAAAATTGAAATGGAAGAAATAATTTTGTAATTATAAAAAGTGTGAAAAATACTATATAATATACTGTGCTTCGAAAAGCACAAACTTATCTAATACGTTTTCTAATTCTTTATATTAAATATAATATCTTTATTTTTTAACATACTCTTATCGTTTATAAGAATTTAGATTGTAATTCACAAAAACACATTTTATCAAAAATTCTTATTAATCATTAAAAGTGCATTCTAATATTTATTATAAGTATTAAAAACCTATAATTCATCTTACATATACATCATATACATACATATATGACAGACTTTCTATTAATAGTAGTGACTACTACATAGATGTGCAGCCTAAGATATAAACTATATAAAATATAAAATATTTTTTAATATTTGAACTTCTATTTAAATAGAATATTTCTATCAAATAGAAACAATGCGATCCATTGAACAGTTATAAAGATAAGGAACTAAAGTAACAGTTCTGAATTCGTTACTGTAAAAATGTAACAACTATTATTAAAAAATATACATAGAAAACGCATATACCCTCTGTTTTCGCCAATCTTCGGTTGGCAGCATTCGGGAGTAAAAAAGGCAATAATTATTTTATCACAAAAAGTTATAGCGAAAATAAAACGCTACAAACAACGTGTTAATTTCCAATCCTGATTTTAAATAATTTATTTTAAAGAATTATAAGTAATGATTCATATATAATATTACAAATGTGTAAAGCTTATCTTCTTGAACTTTGTTCGGATGACAGTTTTCATATGAATGCAGCAAAAATAAACAAAAAACACTATTATAATTCTACTAATCGCGATTGCAAGAATTTCTTCGAGAATTTATGAGATAAATGTGAATAACTTGGATGATTTGTACACATAACGTAATATATTCGGCGTATAGGCATTAATGCAATCTCAAATTTAATTTTGTTTACTGTCGCGACAGAACAATGTCTCATTAGAAATCCTAACTGATATAGCACGACGTAGTATGGAATACACATATACGCAGTATGTAAAATTAATCCTTGACCTTCGAGCACTCACTTTACTTTTTTGCAGCATAATGCAAGACTTGTATGCCACACGTATTCACGAACATCATGAATTAAGGACGTGCGTAGTTTTTTTCACTTTTTATTTTATTCTTTGTCTTTATAAACTTATATTCTTTGTCCATATAACATATAAATTTCATGTTAAAAATGTAGCAGTTTACTTAAATAAATTTTTATTATTTTAGCAATAGTATATAACATTAAGTACAATGTAGAAAATAAAATTAATGTTATTATTAAATACAATTTATTATAGC